TGTGTTTGGAGTCCTTGACTGAGCACTCGGGGCTCCTGGTGTTGGGCAGTCGCTGGAAAACTCTTGCTGAGGCCTTTTCTGTGGCCTCTCGTTGTCGTTTGGAGGACTGTGGGAAGCAGGGCTTCGATTGGAGCAGCCCAGGATTAACTCTGGTTGCAGGAAGGTGTCTCAGAGGATGGGTTTAATTGCTTTGGTATTTTTACACATTTTTGTCCATCTCTGTGATTGACACCAGGTTTACTCCTTGTCTTGCCGCATGCGGGCATGGTCTGCTGGGGACAGGGGTGCCCCGAGTTGTGTCTGAAACCTGTGCAGCCTCACAAACCCCCCGGTCCTGAGGGCTCTCGGCCTCTCGTGGTGCTGACAGAGGCAGAGCAGCTCAGTCTGCTCCTGAAGGCCCTCGCTCCACTTCACAATGCAGAGCAAAGAAAACCAGGCTTGGGCTAATTGAGCCGAAAACATAACATTACAATTTGTAGCTGATTAAATCTTTCAAACAATATTTATGTTAATCTTCTTCTGATTTATTTTCTTATAATGCCTGGGCTAGGAGATAGTCCAGTGCTTGGGAAGCGCTTCCAGATGGAGCACAGTTCTCCTCGCCAGCTGCTCGGGGCTCGGAGCGGGGATTTGTCACTCGCTGCCAGGAGAGGTGACCGCGTCCGGCCCGGCCGCTCTGTGCGCAGGGGTCTGAGCCGCAGCTCCCGGTTGTGCTGCAGGGATGAGCCCGCTGTGACAGGAGGGGCTGTGACCACGCGTGGGAGGGGGCGTCCGTGTGTCCGGGCTGGGCTGCGCTGCCTCCCGCACCTCGCGTCCCCAGCCCAGGACGTTGCTGTGGCGAGCAGAGGCCGCTGTGAACGCTCCTCGCAGTGATGCCCGAGATCCGCGGGGCTGTAGCGAGCCTCGGTTTCCTCCCGCTCGCTGTGCTCGCAGACCCCTCGCTTTGTCCTGCGGAACTGGCTGCATCTGGTGCCTGGCGCATCTCCACAGGACGCTGATTTAAGGAACTGCTCTGTAGAAGTGAGGATGACGGAGACAGAAGGGACCTTGAGGCCATCTGGAGCGTCTGCTTCCCCGACACATCCCCTCTCCCGTTCGCCCCAGACACATTTGTCAGGTTTGCTCGCAGCTCCCTGTGCTGCTGCTGCTCATCTTCCTGTTTACCAGTTCCTTAAAGATATATTTATTGGGACTGGAATTTTTCAGGGGCTTAAAGGACACGTGGTCTGTGCACGCCCATCTCTGCTCTTTCTTTCCTCCCTTTTTCAAAAGGCTGCAATTTACCCTTTCTGCCCTTGACACCTTGGCGGTGGCTGTGGGGCGAGTCCCTGGGGAGGGTCTGGGGGCAGCGCAGGGCGCGGTGGGGACGTGATGGGGACGGTGGGGAAAAAACTGCACCCTGAGCAGCTGTGCTTGCAGGGAGAACCGCTCCGGAGGTCAAGGGGTTTCCACTGCGGAATTGTTAAATTAACTATTCATTTAATTATACTTTGATTAAATTAGATCTTCTCTTTTTTTTTTTTTTTTAATTTCACCAGCAAATGATTCTCTGCATAATTAATGCTGGCTGATTCTGCTAATTCACTTAGTGCTGTGCAGGGGACGGAGGTTCTGGTTGTGGTCTGAGCCACGCGCTGACTGTGGCAAACGGTGTTCAGGGTGAGGCGGTGGCCGCTGCGTGGGCAATGGGGCGGCCGTGCCAGAGGAGCAGCA